GTTCTATTCATTTGTCTATTACAGTTAGAAACTTGTAAACAACTTTACAGTGTTGTTCTATTCATTTGTCTATTACAGTTAGAAACTTGTAAACAAGAATGTATTTTGGCATGTTAAATGTTATTTTAAAGTAAAAGCCGCTTTGTACAACCGATAATAATTCTCGTAATTAAAACTTGTTAGTAATTAATAAACGTAGATTAAAAAAGTATTAAAATAACAGAACACTCCGGCAAACGTTTCATTGAAAACCTCAATAAAAGTACAGAGTTATATAAAGTAAGTTATTTTTAAAGTTCAAACTAAAGGATTAAAAATTGTAGCAATTTTTCCTATACAACGAATGTAATAGAATTTTATAATGTTTCAGAAATTTAATCATCAATAACTCATGTAATGTTTCTAATTTTCGGATTGCAAAGTAGACAAATGATCTCTTGGTAATAAAATCCACTACAAACAACAGTTCTTAGACATGAGATAGATATTACTTCTTTATAACAATAGCCTCCCTACAGACTGCACGTGACGATTTCTCAGCATACAAGGAAGATCGTATGCTATTCACATTGTTAAGCGAGAACCTTCATATAGACAAAAGCGCCATCTTTAGTTCTCGGACAACTTGAAATCGACAAGCTCTCTATACGAGGAGGTCTTGAATCTTCAGTTTCTTTATATAGTTTTATGAATTAGTGGTCTTTCTACAAACAAACTAAACAATGTTACAAAAGTGCAGCATTCAGAAAATAATATTCGATAGTGCATTGACAAGTAGAATAGGCACAATCACACTAGGGGTAAAAAAGAAATTAATTAAGTTTTGATTTAACAGACCGTAGCAGTGATAATTAAACTATTTATTTACTCAGCGGGAAAGAAGTGCGAAACGTATTTCTTCGAACAATATACTTGCAGATATCTCTATCTGGGATAGAATAAGACTCTTCATTCGAAATTCTGTGGATGTGCAGTGATTTAAAAAAAGTCCTTCAATTTCATAAAAAAAACATTTAAATTTTGAAAAATTATGAAATCAGGGCTATTTATACTGCTTCATGTAAAAACGCAAGTAACTTGATTTTAAGTATTGAATAAGTTAATTTCAGATCTATTCCTCACAGTACTTCTATAAACGTGAAGTTTAGGAGCATGTCACGTCTAGTATATTCAGAATTGTGGAAATATTAATATGTTATTTCCGTCAAGTATAAAAGTATTAGTAAACATAACAGACCCTTTTTTCAACTCGCTAAAGGAGTTTGATCTATGTATGACATTATACAAACCATCCTTTTAAGCTACTAAGTTAAACGTAATCCTACTTAGTTTAAAAAGAAATAAATCAGAATATCTATAGTGATTTACTATAATTCACACCACCTTTTTTTTTGAAAATATGTATTTGTGAAAATAAAATAAACAGCTTATTTAAATAATATTCTGACCATTAGTGTGTTTGTTGTATCCTAACCGGCCTGATGAACTTAGTATTGAGGAAAACGCGCCGTTGGCAATGGATATGTCGGGAATAGTGTGGTTCAGTTACTATTATACTGTTTATAAGTCTTGAAAAAACCCTAAGGGATTGAACATAAAATGTAGTGTTAAAAATATAATAGTTTTATGTATTAGACAAGTATAATTAATTATCATGTATTTTAGCCTTTATCTTCTTCTATTACTGCTTTACATTCATACTACGGAATGGGTATCTGTTCTCTGCCCACCACGAGTATAGAAACCCGGCCCGGTTTCTAGCGGTATAAATCCGCAGAACATACATAGGCAATTATGTATTTGCATAACAATATAAGAGAACATCACTGCTTGTTTATTCTAAACTAATGCGACCTTCTGATTCAGTCTCCAGCGGCTCAGCAATAAGTCTGAAGGCTTATAACTTTAAAAACCTAGTTTCGATACCCGTGGTGGACACAGCACACAGAGCTCATTGTGTAGTTTGTACTTAACAACAAACAACTAATCCAGCACATATTTCGACGCTGTTCGTGACTAAGAAAACATGAACATTTTGTTTTATATAGAAATTGCATTATTGAACAATTGAAATAAAAAGCATAAATTTAACTTAATTATCTTAGGAAATGTTGTTCGGTTTAATAACTTAATTATCTTAGGAAATGTTGTTCGGTTTAATAACTTAATTGTCTTAGGAAATGTTGTTAGGTTTAATAACTTAACTATCTTGGGAAATGTTGTTAGGTTTAATAACTTAATTGTCTTAGGAAATGTTGTTAGGTTTAATAACTTAACTATCTTGGGAAATGTTGTTAGGTTTAATAACTTAATTATTTTAGGAAATGGCACTGAGTTAGTTTAAAAAAATAAGTAAAGCATGAAAGAAAAATCATAAAATTAAAATATATCTACAATAAAACATACTATTTGTATTTTAATAGTTACCTTTTATTTTTTACTTAGTTGTTAATGATTACAAGGTAAAAATTAAATGACAAACTTATTTTCCTGTAACCCTATTTAATTTAGAAGAAGAGAAAGAAATTAGAAATATTTATTTTTCAAAATGATATATAAACCAAATTTACTGTTTAATTTCTTTTCTTAATCATTAGTCGATTTTCAATATTTATATTATTTTTATCTAAATCTTATATGGAAGAAACGCAATTTCTTATGAAAATAACATGAAAACTGTATTAATAGAAAACTAAATTACACGATATCGTGATATTTAAACTAGCTTACTGGATTTAAATGACGATAAAACACTTTTGTTAATTAGTTAAAGTAAACTATTACTTTTTAATGTTGTAAATGTAAGCGCTAAACTCAAAAGTTATACTGCAGAGCTCTAGCCAGTTCTTGGTTTTATTTGCACTTGTAAGTTTGCGACCTCTCTGTTTACTAGCCTTCTAGTGGCACAGCGGTATGTCTGCGGACTTATACCGCTAGAAACCGGCTTTCGATACCCGTGGTGGGCAGAGCACAGATAGCCCTTTGTGTAGCTTTGTGCTTAATAATAAACAACAACATCTCTGTTTACTGCAACTCTCGTCTTTTGTCTTCAAACTTTGCTGCATAACTACCGTTCTGTTGACAATATCCTTCATGTGAAATATTGAATAAATAAAGTTCATATATTTATTTTATTTTTGACTTCTGATTTCGTCATCTGAAAAGCCTTTCATAACCTTATAATTAGTATGCCATACCTCATACGAACACTTAATTATTGAAACTTCTGTTGCAAATCTAGTGATTAACAAACAACAAAAAAAAACAGTTTCTATCCTGGGCTAAGTTTCTAGTTTTCAGTAAGATTGTGAATTTAATCATTTGGTTGTTTTTTTGTTTTGTTTTTGTATGTTTGAAGGTAAAATTAGCATCTTGGTTATATTTCAACTCTCTGTGTGCTTAGCTTTAAGTGTCTGATAGTTTTATCCTGAAAAGCACCTCATGCATCACATGGATTTAAGCTTCCAAGTCAGAAACACCACGTTCGGGCATAGCCATTCTGAATTTAGAGCTGCTAATCAGAGAGAGGGCAACTAGTCAGCAGCACCCGCCGTCTACACTTTCATCCTAAACCTAATAGCAGTATTGACTGTCACTTTTAGAACACGCCTGAAGCTAAAAGTACAGATCAAGCGTGTTCAGCAGCATATCATGGGCTTCATACCTTGGATGTGCACACTAACCACTGGCCATGTCTAGCAGCATTTTTTAAATAATTAATCTTGAGTGTCAGTCAAGTTTCTTCTGACTTTGAGTTTCCAATCAAACATCATTACATTATGGAACAGTTGAATCATAAGTGGTAAATTTCTTTCTCTTTCTCCTATAATGTTGAAACTTAGGCTTAAAATAGTTTAGTTATGTTAGTTTATATAGGAAA